ATAATATGGGTTCGGTTCAGGTCAGTGGGTCACTAGGTGATCTCTACAACAACCCCGCATCCTTGTGTACTGTATGTGGGTACAAAAAGGACGTGTATCTGAAATGTGCAACAAAAGTTTCCCTAAGTGACATATTTCAAATTAGCCAAAATCCAAACGCTGCCCTCTAGTGGATTTGTCATCTGAAACGTGCAATGAAATGATCCTGGAGCAGCATTTTTTTACGCTTCGCAAAAATGTACGCAGCTGCAAGTGTTTCCAATGTGCCTGGATTAGTTACTTTGAACTCTTTAGCTCCTTTCACATGTTTTGCATTAGGATTTCAAGCGTCATGTACAACTTAAAAAAATGTTACCTGCAGATTTACTTACATGGCTTCGAAAAGTCAGTGGCATCGTAGTGGTTAACGTTACACATCGTAAAGCAATCATTTGTTGCACTTTAAAATTCACAAATGCTGCGTCCGAAATGGCAAACTCCCATACTATATAGTATATATATACGATAAAAACTGTATGTGAAAGTAGTATGTCCGAATTCATAGTATTTAAAAATTATTATGCGAGAAGTACCCGGATGACCTACTACTTCTGGCAAGATTCTGAAATGCGCATCTGATAGGCGCTACGCTACTCCATGATGCAATGCGAGAGAATTCATATATGAGAGTGAAGTGACACTGACGTGGGTGGATCACATGATAATGACAAATGGCAGATGTAGTATATCTGAATTTCATTTATACTATATAGAACGTAATTTCCAATGATTGTGTGGTAAATTCAAATTCAAATGTGGTACATACTTGAGTACAAGTCGATTTCGGAGGCCGCCAATGTGTTGTGGGAAAACACTTGATTTATGTTTCACTTCATGGAGTTCAACAGATTTGGAACATAGATGCGAATCAATGCCTTTAGAATCCTTTTGTTGGGATTCTAGAACAGGCAGATCTAGTATCCCAAAGCCTTTAGATTCTTTATATGTAGTAAATTCAAACTAGAATGTAGTACCTACTCGAGTAGTAGTCGATTTCGGACGCAGCCAAAGTATAGCGGGAAAACACTTGATTTATGCTTCGCTTCATGGAGTTCGACATATTTGGAACATTGATGCGAATCAAAGCCTTTAGATTCCATTTGTTGTGATTCTGGCAATCTCAAATCCCAAAGCCTTTAGATTCTTTAGATTTAGTCGATTTAAATTCAAATGTAGTACAAACTCTAGTAGTTAATTTTGGACTCAGCCAAAGTGTAGCAAGATAGCACTTGATTTTCTGCTTCACTTCATGGAGTTCAATGCATTTGGAACATCAAAGCTTTTAGATTCCATTTGTTCGGATTCTAGATATAATAGTCTCAAATACCGAAGACTTTACATTCTTTAGATTTAGTAAACTCAAAGTCAAACTTAGTACATACTCGAGTAGTAGGCGATTTCGGATGCAGCGAACGTGTACCAGGAAAACACTTGATTTATGCTTTGCTTCATGGAGTTTAATGCATTTAGGACACTGATGTGAATCAACGCCTTTAGATTCCATTTGTTCGAATTACAGAACGGGCAGTCTCAAGTCCCAAAGCCTTTAGATTCTTTAGATTTGGTCAATTTAAATGTAGTATATACTCGAGTAGTAGTCTATTTCGGATGCAGCCAAAAATGTAGCGGGAAAACACTTGATTTATACTTTGCTTCATAGAGTTTAATGCATTTGAAACAAATCAAAGCCTTTAGTTTGCATTTGTTGGGATTCTAGTACTGGCAGTCAATCATAGAGCAGAGCTTATGTAATAATCCCCTTTATATAACCTCTGACAAGTGTCTATTAAAGTTCACGAGAGCATGACGACCTGTTTCATGAATGCATTCGGTTAGTGTAACCAATGAGGCAGTTATAAGCGCGTTTCATTTGCACGATTTTATTTCTTCTCCTGCTCTGCAAAGTCGATGTTGTAGGTGAGCTGGTGTCCATTGTCCCAAGCATACAGAAGCTTCTCTTTGGGGTTGTAATCGACTTGTGTGGTGAAGCCGTATTCATTGATGAAAGGCAAACGCGGAGCCGCTTCAGCCCCCGTTAGCGTGTCATACGCATACGAAACCTCTCCTTCCCTCTGATTGTAAATGTCCACCGCGTAAAGCACTCCGCATATTATGAAGCAGTTCCCGAATGAGTTTCGCCTCAGTCGCGTCCTCCACGTGGTCTCTTTTTTCAACGACAGGTCACTGGGGTCAAGCCTACTAACAACGATGACTTCAGCCTGTCCGTAATCCTCGTCGATTGATGGATAAATGACCCAGAGCCCGTTTTCATCCACTGCGAAGTCGATGTCGGAGTGGCCTTTCCACTTCCATGGTGTCGTGTCTTCATAGACCACGTCATGCAGCTGAGCCCAGGCGGCCACATATCGCTGTTTGAGGTCGTATTTAATGATATTCTTGGTGAAAGCGCGGTTATAGTAAAAGCCTCCTCTGTATACAACATGACCCGTTCCGATCCAGTTATAAGGGAGCTTGTACAGATTACTCCAACGGCCTGCAGGAAATGAGAGGGGGAAATGTTACTAGTGCTAAATGTTACTTAAGGCCCGATCCCAATTCTATTTTTTACCCCTTGACCATTGAAACAGAATGTGAAGGGGAAAGGCTTCAAAATTTACTTCTAAGAAATGGGAGAGCACTACAACACCTGCACACTTCATAATATGTCATTGCAAGCTCTTACTTTCTAAGAGATTAACACTGGCGACTGCTGTAGGTAATGATATTATGTTATCATAACGATCTAATGTGGCAATAGGATCATAACTGTACTGTGCATTTGCACCATGGCTATATTCATCTATGTAAACACAAGAAAACAACATTAACGTTATAGCCTACTAGACAGTGTAAGAAGCTCATTCCCAGCCACTAGACTTTTCTGACAGAGTATTCGTGTGTCTTCGAGTGACAGATGCCAGGACTGCTATACAGGAGTTATAGGTACAAACGGGGTTATGTATTAAAAAATAGGCTTGTTTGTTGTAAAATATTCTTAATAAAGCCAAAAAATAATAATTTGTTGATCTCCTGACTTGCGTATGCAGCCATGTTGCCGTTGTAGCTGGTTTACTCTGGGAAATTTTCGTACCCTTTGGTTTTAAGTGTGGTCCTGGAAAATCTCAGTTTCAAGGGCTATCTAGCCTTTCCCCTTAGCCATCCGCCTTCAAGCTAAAAAAAATTAAAGACACCCCTACCTCTTTACATGAACGCACAAAAGTAAGGGTAAGGGCTAAGGGGTAGAATTGGTATTGGGCATAAATGAAGTATAACTATAAGGTGTTGCAGGTAAATATAGCTCCATCTCGATTTAACCATTTTTTTGGTTACCCAAGATTAGGTCCCAGTTTAATTCTAAACAGCTTAACATTTTAGCCTTTACCTCATTATTAGCTAGGCACTGCATTGTACTCCACTGGAAATCAAATAAGACTCCAACTACATCTCATTTTTCACATTGATTTGTGGATACCATGTATTTTCTAAAGTTAGAAAAGGTCATATGCTTTGCGAAAACTAATTTAATTAAAAAGTGGCAATGATTTATAATTGACTTTGTCTTTTACAATCTTGTCTTCCATTTAATAAATGCACTCGCCTTTAATTTATTTCTTAGTAATTTATTTGCTTTTAACTATTATTATCTTATACTGTTTAATTGTACATATTTAAACAGTTGATTGTGGTTGTTGAATGACTGCATTTAGTTGGTTGTAAAGACATTTTTTTCTGTACACTTTTATTACTCGTTTCTGTTTTTTTTTTTTGTCTTATTTTTTTTTGATGATTTTTCCCCTTTGCTTTTTAATTTCTTTTTGTCGTCTCTTTCGTTAAAAAAAAAAACAATAACAAAGATAATGATATGTAACTTTGTATTTTTCACAAAAAAAAAATGTATAAAACATAAATATATATTTTAAAAAGTATCATAACAACATCAGCCTTATACACTACTCTCCTGCCTGCCTGATTTGCTGGAATGTTCCACAAAACATTTTGGCTTTAAGTCTCTTTCTTCATCTATGTTAAGCTGCTTTGACACAATCTACATTGTTTAAAGCGTTCAAGAAGTAAAAATGAATTGAATCAAAATATTAGTATATTTCTGAAATGAGGGTACCTTCATATAATGTAGAGACTGTATGTGAATAGCACAGAAGCTACCCAGTTATTACACCTGTTATTAGTATGCATTTTGGTCACACTTTATTTCAATGTACAATTTATGCTATAAAAAAACCATCAACCATCAAGACTTTTAGCTCAATAAACTGCTAATTAGCTGCTTATTAATAGTTAGTAAGGTAATAGTTCGGTTTAGATATTTGCGTAGGATTAGGGGTGTAAAATAAGATTTATAAGTGCTAATAAACAGTTAATATCTTAATAATTGGCAGGTTAAAAGCCAGTATTAAATGGTGTGAGTTGTGACTTTTAAAATAAAATGTAACCTGCATTATTTCTGATTACAAACCTAACAGAAAAAAAACATTAGCTTCACGTATGCGATCACATTAAATCACATAAAATTTGTGGAACACAGGTGGAACAAGTGTGAAACTCATGTGAAATATGGGAAATGTGTGGTTTTGGAAATATTTTTCTTGTATATTTCCTTGTATAGCTTGTAAAAAGATATAGGTTTCACAAGAAAATGTTCCAAATTACAGATCATGGGTTTCACACTTGCGTTCCACAAATTTCACATGTGATTTTAATGTGATTGTACATGTGAGGCTCATCTGGATTTTCTGTAATGAAAAACAGATGTGCTAAACACATTAAAATGTTTTAAATGATACAACATGACAATCTGATTTTGATTCACTTAGGCAGTGATAAAATATTTGGCAACACCTCTAAAAATTCTAGGATGCAGTATTGAGTGGTGTATCAGTTCATAACTAATATATATACTGTACAGCCAAACCTGAAGTTAATAATACCCCTGGCAAATTCTG